TCTGTCTGTCTGTATGTCTGTCTCTCTCTGTGTGTGTGTGTGTGTGTGTGTGTGTGTGTGTGTGTGTGTGTGTGTGTGTGTGTGTGTGTGCGCGTGCGCCCCTTTGCCTTTCAGAGCATGATCTGTTTATGAAGGTACATGTTGGACAGACTGAGTCACCAAACAGAGACTCATTAAACCTGCACACTGTTTATACAGCAGAGTGTGTGTGTGTGTGTGTGTGTGTGTGTGTGTGTGTGTGTGTGTGTGTGTGTGTGTGTGTGTGTGTGTGTGTGTGTGTGTGTGTGTGTGTGTGTGTGTGTGTGTGAGAGACAGAGCATGAACAGTAACTGTTGAACTCAGATAGTTTTGACTTGTTTTGGAAGTGAAACCTGAACTTTAAGTTGATTGTGTGTGTGTGTATGATTGTGTGTGTGTATATGATTGTGTGTGTGCGTGTGCATGTGCGTGCGCATGTGTTCTATGAGGTGTGTTTGTACATCGGGTGGGGAGCAGGTTTCTTTCTGGTTGTGTTTATATTCGTTCATCGTGTTTTAACATGCTAACTTTCTCTGTCTCTGTCTCTGTCTGTGTGTGTGTGTGTGTGTGTGTGTGTGTGTGTGTGTGTGTGTGTGTGTGTGTTCAGGTGTGTCGTCGTCCTTTTGAATCCTCGGAAGAACAAACAGCATTACATCTTCAACAGTTCCAGGTAAGACTTTGGCCAATCAGCTCTCACCTCACCTGCATGTGGAAACTGTTTCAGGGTACAATAGGTGCTCAAAGCATTTAACAAAAACTTCATATATAACATGCTTTTACAAATAAAGATAACTGAGTGTAGTGTGTGGCGTGCAGGTCTAATTCCATTATAATTTACTCAATTTTTAAAGGAATTGTAAATTGTGTTTCTGGCTCAGTTCTGATACTGTGTCTCAATTTAGCTGTACTCACATTTGCTGTTTTGAGTGCATAATTGCTTCCCAAAGTGTGGCAATATGCGCTATAAGTACCCGAAAGGTTTATCCATTACGGTCAAAAGTTGAGGATCACACATTTAATGATCGCCATCATGGCTACCTGGTACTGGGATGGGTTAAAAGCAGAGAACAAATGTCACTGTCTGTGCTGCGTGCTCTGCATGCGTGACCAGAGGGTTTCATCCCTCCAATTCTGTTATGAAATAGCACAACCAGCTACTACACAAATAAAACCTATTCCTGAGTTTTTTAAGTATGTAATGCTCGCACCCCTAGACTGGGGTTGATAAGGAACCGTAGTTTATTTAATAGGGGTTAATTAAGCAGTCTATAATGAGTTAAACTGCTATGGATAAGTTGTTAGCTACAACACTACACTACACGGCTGACATTTAGTTTAGTGTGTACCAAGGGAAGTAACTGAATTAAGACACCAGTGGCGAGCCGTCAGGGCCCTCTAGGCCCTCTCTAGTTTTACCAAAATAACTGGATTTAATTATATTTAAAATAACATTTCCAAATAACTAAATCCTTCGAATCTGCCTTTTCAGTTTCTGTTTGAATGTGAAGGGTTAAATGAAAGAAGCTCGTCTCTGGGAGTCACTGAAGACAGGAGCTGTTGGTGGTCCAACTGTAAATTCACAGAGGGCCAGCTATAGTAACTGAACGAGAGAGTAATGTCAAGTGACAGTACAACTGACCAATCATATCTTCCCTCTAAATGGGTGGATTTTATTATCGCGGACTTTATGACAAGTTCCGCCCGCTGTGAAGCGTTTCTTGTTTCCATAGCAACAACAACTGTCAACAGCGTAAACTCGCCTTCAAAATAAAAGCATGCCAAATTACACTTAAGACATAAAACAGCAACGAAAGTAACAAACACAATGCAATATCCTTTTCAATTTCAAAGAACACAAAGTGGGTTATTTACAGGTGTTGCTTTGTGTGGTAGAGGGTCGCTGTCATTGATGCGTTTTGCACATAGACTGTATATATAATTAATAATAATAATAATAATATTTGGTTTTGCACCCCGGGCCGGTGTTTTTCAGCTGAAGTATACACTGTGAGGTAATAACTCTTTTTTTTTTTTTTTCGAGGGAAGGGGTGGGGTCAGAGGGCCTAGGCATAAAAGTCACGGCTCGCCACTGAAAGACACACCTTATAATCAAGGTCGACTTTCAACCAGCAGGTTGTTGGTTCGATCCCAGCCCGTGCAGTTAACATGTCGATGTGTCCTTGTTTGAGTTTTTGAGAGTGTGTGTGTGAGTGTTCGCTTCCCTAGAGCAAGTGGTGCTGCTCTGCATGAATGAGGTGTGAATGGGTGAATGACTCGTCGAATGTAAAGTGCTTTGAGGGGTCGAGAAGACCTGATGAAGAGATTTATAAGATACAGTCCATTTAGTGTAATGGGTCTATTTGGCACAGACAAACTCGTCACTGCTATACAATACAAATACAACCATGGTTTTCCTTTACATCTGACCATGTCTGATTACGTGATTTTAAACATGTGACCCTTTTCTCCCTTCCTGTTCTTCAGGAAGGCGATCACCACGTTAGCGTTTTCTCCAGATGGGAAATATGTGGTCACAGGAGAGGTGAGTCTTTCTGATGATCAGCAGGTCTTCAAGAGCCTAACCCAGGACCAGAGTTTACTCAGTTTAGGGGGGTTAGGGAGGGTCTGTAGTCTGTGTGTTGAAGACCCTGTTACTACTTGTTTTTTAAGATGCATCTTGGCCAATCAGCATAGGAGCAAGCATGTATAGGAAGGAAAAATGACTTAATATAAAATAAAATGACTAGATTCAAAACAAAAAAGGCCCAAACCTTGCAGAGAAACAACAGAAACGAGTCCTCGTGCAAACAGAGGAGGTCTGGAGGATTAGTGAGGAGGTTTAGAGGAACAGAAGGTCTCTCAGCATGATGAGGAGTCAACCTGCTGTTGTTACTAAATCACTGAATCATTATCCTATTAAACCAACACTGGGTGCTGAAACGTACAAATAAATAACATACCCATAAAAGACAAATAATCACAAATCACAAATTAATTAAACTGTAGATCAAACAAATCAATGTAATTTGGAATTTAAATACCAGACGTGCTAGTAGTTAAATCAGTATCACGTTAAGTGTTTATAAAACATTTGTATTATTGACTCACTTGTGGCTGTTACTGACTACCAGTGGATGAAGATTTTATATTGTATTTTTAAGATGTTATTAAGTATTTTCCAATACAGACTGAACAAGAAGACAGACTGTTACAGTACAAGGACAATGCTCACATAGTTGTATATATATTTTTGACCTTCTTCCTCCTCCTCTTCCTCAGAGCGGCCACATGCCGGCGGTCCGAGTCTGGGACGCTTCGGAGCGTCTGCAGGTCGCCGAGCTTCAGGAACACAAATACGGAATCTCGTGCGTCGCGTTTTCGCCAAACGGAAAATACATCGTCAGCGTGGGCTACCAGCACGACATGATGGTCAACGTCTGGAACTGGAAGGTAGACAAGTCAACGTTTGAGTGAATAATGTAGGAGGTGTTAATCAGATGAAACTGAACTACACACAGTACAAATCTGCAAAAAAAACATCTTTGAAAAACTCGTTAAAACTGAGGATAGGTGGCTGCTGAAGAGCATTGAAAACCAGCAGGGTGATGCGTTCAGGTACACGCTGTTGTTTTGAGTATTTATCTTGTGAGTAGTATTAAGTGTATACTTCTTTCAGGTTTAGCCTTAAATAAAATCCCTTATTTAGGTAATTTTCCAATGTGTTATTGTGGTTGTTTGGGGGTATCTGTATACCAACCCCCCCATCCTCATGACTCACACCAAAAAGGAAAAAAACAATTATAAAATAAATGTAATATAAAATAGTCTGAAAAATTATAAATAAACAAAGGGAAAATGCAAACTTATATTCTCAAATGATAAACAAATACACATTTTAAAATGAATTATAAATAACAGCGATCTACAAAGACATGATTATCACATATACAGTTGTTACGTTGTGTTTCTTGTTGTGTAGACTTTGTTTAGTGGTCCAGGTGTTTATTAACGATTATTTCGAGAGACCACCGCCAGTAAACATACATTTGAGAGGGCCCACAATAGTTAAATTGTAGTCGATTGTATCTTCTTATTTCGCCAAAATGTTCTCTGTGAAAGTATACAGGTATTGTAGTGAAACTGCTTTGTAATCCAGCTGACTGATGTTGTTGTTGTTGTTTTGTGTGTCTTCCCATCAGAAAAACGTCGTTGTTGCAGCCAATAAGGTTTCCAGTAAAGTGACGGCCGTGTCCTTCTCCGACGACAGCTCCTACTTTGTTACGGCCGGTAATCGACACGTGAAGTTCTGGTACCTGGACCACGCTAAGACCTCCAAGGTGAACGCCACCGTGCCTCTGCTGGGGCGTTCAGGGCTGCTGGGAGAACTCAGGAATAACTTCTTCAGCGATGTGGCGTGTGGTCGGGGTAAACAGGCCTCGTCCACTTTCTGCATCACTTCCTCCGGCCTGCTGTGCGAGTTCAACGACCGGAGACTCCTCGACAAGTGGGTCGAGCTGAGGGTGAGTCACAGCATTTGGTTAAAAGAGACGTTTCCAACTCTAGTTACCGTATGTAGCCCCGCCCCTTTTCCTACTTCCGGTTCAAACTCAGTTTAAATGTGTTAGTTCCTCCAAATTCAATGAACGTATCTGGGGCTATTTAGCTAGCGAACTAAGTTATCTATTTAACAAGCCGGCCAGCAAACATTAGCTTTCTAGTTAATAAACTATAGCTATAGTAAGCTATCTTTTTAAAAAGCTATCTAGCTGTCTAGGAAAAGTTGGCTATTTACTCCACGTTTTAAGCTAGCTAACGTTTGCTATCGATCAAACCGGCTAGTTAGCTTTCTTTAGCTACCGATTTTAGGAATTAGCCAGCAAATGTTAGCTAACTTTTTCCTATGAATAAATCTCACCTGGCCAGAGGCGTACCTCAGGGCAATGTGACCTCACTGTAGTGTGTGGCTACAGGTGGAACAGCTGCTGTTTTCTGATGTTAACTTTATTAAGTATTTCACTGTGTATGTCTTAATGTGAAAAGCTCTAATGTGAAGTTCCTCCTCTTCCCCCTCGCTTCCTGTGCAGAGCGTCGACTCTGCGCCCGTAAGTCTCCATCTCACCGGGACTCAGTCAGTTCAGCCTGTGATTCCTTTACTAACATTAATATATAGAGTATATATATAGTTTAATAATAGGCTGATCATGTGATTACGGCTGTATTTCAACCTGAAAAGCCACTGTTTTGCTGTCCCTTAAAACACATTTAAATTTGAATAATTCAATAAGCTGATAATCAGTAAATCATTAGCTGAACTGACTGACTCGGACCCGCCCACTTTCTTTCCTTCTCTCACCCCATTGGTCGGTTTCAAAGCACGCGGCTGTCATTCATACCCACACTCCACCTCCACGCTCAGATTCACAGCGGTCCCTGAACGCAGCATCCACCGCCTCCTCCACCAACATCCAGCATCCACTCACTGCAGCAGTACTCACACTTTGCTCCTGATACTTCAAAGTACTGAAGATGCATTTTCAACGTGATCTTCTAGTCTACTAATTGCTTTACAACACATGGCCTCATTCATGCTTTCACACACACATTCACACACTGCTGTCATAGATTGCTTTGCATCTGCAGAGCGGTTAATACACACTGTCTCTCTCTTTCTGGAGGAGCTCAGTAACACAGCCGCCTTTGTCTGGATCTTCTCCCACTCACATTCTCTCATTTACATTTTCAGTCTTTAAATCAGAGAAACACAAAGAACAAGTTCCTGCTGAGGGCACTGAGTCTGCAGAGGTGTCTTCATGATGACTGATATCATTTCCAAACCGTTAGTGAACCCGCCATTTAAAAAAGCGGCAAACGTCCAGTATCTGACGGGCATAACGTACTCCACCTAGCGTAGTCCAATAATTCAACATTACAAAAAGGTGGTGTTAATTATATTGAAAGAATATGTAACCCTAACATGTCCTAAACATTTAATTGAATTGTCTCGTACAGATCCTAATTTTTATATATTTTTCAATGATCATTTGAATAATGTTCCAAAAGGAATAATGTCCTCTTTTGTCAAAAACATATCCCAATTACAATTACAGACACTTTGCCTCATGAGGATGCTTTTCCTCACTGTTCACTCTATCACGTGCACACACCTGGGTTTTATCTGCACAGATCTGTAGGCTAGATAGAGGCCATCATTTTTTATTTTTTTTACTGAAGACGACTCCAGGTGGACTTCACGTCATCGCAGGGTCAAAAATCATCTTCATGGTGTCGTCATAACTCAGCAAGAAGAAGTGATGTTTCTGAAATTTGATTCTGACTCACCTGTGTGTGTGTGTGTGTGTGTGTGTGTGTGTGTGTGTGTGTGTGTGTGTGTGTGTGTGTGTGTGTGTGTGTGTGTGTCCGTGTGTGTGTGTCCATGTGTGTGTCCGTGTGTGTGTGTCCG